AGTAATAGCAGGAGCAACAGTGACGTAATCCGCACAAACTAGGGGGGGGGGCGAAAAAGTATAGTTTGCGTAAAGTGAGGAAAACCCCGGAAAATCGTGTCATTTCAGGAAAATTCGTAAATCACTGGTATCAAATTTAAAATAAACCACGTTTTAATGTTATGCCCCCCCCCCCAATCAGTACGCCAGTGAATAGCAGTACGTATAGGCGCAGTTTGTGTAATAAGTATCATTTATTTATTATCCATAAGCCTATCAGGAAATTTAATTTCCACTGGTTACAGAGTAACACAATACAAACATATAAATAACATATTACAGGACAGTGATAAACATACACATATGATAAACATACATAATGAATGAGGTAATAAATTAGTAGGCCAGGGTATATAGGGTGGTAATAGTTTTTATCCTGGGTTTTGATCCTGGGGCCTCACAGTTACGAGGCCATTGCTTTGCCACTGAACCATGACTGTACGCAGCGGGGGCTAGGGTAGGGGGCAGTTCCAGGATCAAAACTGTGTCGATGTGCTATATTAGTGCCTCATTTGTGGGGCATTAATCCTCATTACTGTCATTTATGACTTAAGGGTGTAGGTCCCCTAGTTGATAAGCATATTAGCATACTTATACTTTAGCAGTCACGCAAAACAAACACTGGCAAATTATTATTCAATAAAATCTGAGAATGTATACTATAATCTAGATCTATTAGGAATAAATCATTGTCAAAATAATTCCATAAATTGGGGTAAAAAAAATAATATTCCAAATTCATGAGCAACAGTGTATATAGTAAAAAATTAAATAGCAAGATAGAGAAAAAAGTGAAAAGGCCACAGAATTTTATCTCGTACTTGTATATGTACTTGTAATATAGTAATATTATTATTAGTATTAATAGAAGTAATAGAAGTAGATGAAGTAGAAGAAGAAGTAGTAGTAGAAGTAGTAGTAGTAGTAACAGTAATAATAATGATAGCAAATAGTAATAATTAATAGGGTATGCACCCTAGTCGACATGGACAACCGTCATCATGATACTCAGTAGATCAACCAGTTACAGTAAATTTTGTATTTTCCTATTCATGACATGAAATGATTTTGAGCTTGTAGAAGATCATGTTTAAAGAGAACAGTGAATTAATTTATTATTCAAACAAATATATTTAGGTGCACTACCATAAATCTATTCCTGAGGCAATATGAATTTGACATGAATTTAAAAGTGTGTTGAAAATTGACATGATCTCTATTTGTTATCACTTAATGTTTTATAAGGAAGCTGTCTTTTTTTATGACACATTTGCAATGGTGACCTAAAAAAAAACACAACATTTTACAGCCATTTCACTAGGCCTTTTTTTCTTATTATGCTTTTGAGATAATCCGAACGTGATTTTTTTCTTATCAGCACTGCAGTATTGAAATTGCTCTTTACTCAGATGTATTTCTCGATTGTATTTAATTGAATTTCTTTGGTATTTCAGTCATTACTTTTTGACCCTTATTCATTTGGCAGAAAGTAAACTGACATCCATATACATTTACATTTATGCTTTAAAAAGTTGATGATATCATGTAATGAAAATTTAATACCATAATTGTCTTATTCTATTGTATCTACTATATTATGATTTAAATAGTAGGTCATCATGTTCAGTCAAGCACTTTGATGAAGAAAAAGCATGATCAATTCAGACACTTCAGGTGAATCTATACGAGTTTCACTCTAATATCATTATTATTGCAAACGGTCTTTTCTTAGTTGACCGCACACGGAAAAAAAAAATCCTCTAACGGCCCTTAAAATTGTGTCTCAAATGGACGGATCCAAATTCAGTTACCCCCTCCCCCTCCCCCCCCCCCCAGAACAAAATCAACAAGGAAACAAACAGACATAAACAGCGTTATTTAAGCATAAAAAAATAATAAAGCAACAGAAAAAGAGAACTTCCTTTACATCAAATCTTTTTAACAATCAAACATTGAAATATCAAACAAAAATTAGATCGAGAAGTATAATTTTTAAACTCGTACGGTACTAAGCTTATTGGTATAGGAATACTATTCGAAACGCTTACCTTATATTCTGACATAGGTGTAAACCGTTATACCAAATCAAACTTGGAAGTGAAGTTCGTTTTCTTAATCATTCTCCTATTTGCTTGAATACATGCAAGACGAAACGCACATCATCATCGCCAGAGTCAAATGTTGGCATGTATCATTGGCAATGGTACATGTATTGGTTAATAAACTGTTATTACAATACCGAAAACCAGCCAATTGGCTGTAAAGTACAACATAGCTCAATCCACGTCAACGTGATATTCCCCGCGTATGAGTTGTCACGTGCACACCAAACACGATATGAATGTAAATTCTATGGTATATTACTATGATTGATATGTATCGTGTCGCAAGGTCAATTTTGCATAACGGCTCAAAGGCAGTGGGAGATCAATGCCATGCTGCTTCGCTACTGTGGGCTTTC